AAAAAAAAAAAAAAAAAAAAAAAAAAAAAAAAAAAAAAAACCTAATCTAGGACCTGACACTGGCATACAGTAAGCATGGAACAAATGGGTCTCAGAATAATGAAATAGGAAACATATGCATCCCTTCCACTGCAGCTCAAATGTACTCAGAAATTCTCTTCAGTCCATACCCACAGGAGCTGACTTTGCTATGAATAAAAACAGTATTGTCCCCTATAAAGGTATACCAGTATGTGTCTACCAAGACAGAACTCACCCACCCATGCCATGTATACTAAAGGAGAGCCCTGATGAGGTCACCAGTCTGTCTGGCTGTGATGTCAAGAAATGCTGAGACTGCAGCCTGCTAGAGATTCTCCAGTGGGGCTGGGGTTCAGGAGGGAAGAAGGCCAACTCCTTTTGTCCAGAGGGAAATTGTACTCCATCCAGGTGGCTGGGTAGAGGAAAACTCAGCTTCTGAAGACCCAATAGTTTATGTTAGTCAAAAACATGTTACATATCTCAGAAAAGCATTTTTCTAACCAAATGATTCATTTCAAGATTCTTGAGAAGAGTGGCTCTGTAGGACACTTAAGACTACAATTAATAAGACTGCAAGGGAGATTCATAAAGAAATTTCAAAAATCTCTAGAAAACTCCATGTGAAATCTCAGGATTCCAGCCAAGGACCTCAGTTTAAAAGTGCTCTCCTCTAGAATTACTGAGAGGCTTTTGCAACGTAGCAAGTCAATATCACTCCAAGGAGATGGGTATAGATGTCCCTGCCCAGGAGGGGATGACTTACTTTGAAGCTGTACCTGACAATGTTCTGGGGTGCATGTGGGTTGTTGGCTGTCAAAATCCGAGTGAATTCCTCCTTTAACTCCTGAGGGAAAGAAATACCAAGAGGGTCATAGGTGAAGGCCACCCAACCCCATCTGAGGCTTACAGGATCCCCCAGAGTATCAGCAGACATTTCACATCCAAGTTCTGGGCAAGCTCCTAATCGTGTACTATGGAAGAACACATCTCTGAACCTGAAAGAGGTACAAGGAGCAAGGATAAGAGGCTACTCACTCACCGCATCGGTCAACTCCAGCTGGTCAGGGGGTCTAACTGTGGCTTTGGACTGGGCCCATTCATCTGTACCTTCTCCCACTTCAGTCCCTGAATCTTCATCCTAGACAAAAACCTCACATGAGGCTGGGAGTGTCTTATCTAATTAGACAAGCAAGCAGGAGGCCTGTTTATTCACAAACAATCCCAGAAGCCAAGCTCTGTCCCTTGTATGAAGAATACAAAATGTACAACATATCACTCATGAAAGAGTCCAAAAGAACTGCTCAGGCCAGAGTTCTCATTGTCTGGAAGATCCTGGCCACCTCTGCCTTGGGGGTCAGGGTAGCTGGAACTTGGAATGTTGTTGGTAGGCCTTTGGCCCCAGTAGTGGGACCAGAAGAACTGGTTCCTCCCTACTGCCTTCTGTAAAGCCCAGAAGCTAATGTCTAGGACCAACAGCCAAAGGCAGGGCTTTATGCAAAGTGGTTTAGACATCAAGAAAGGATGATAAGTCGTTATTCAACTTTAATTTATATTTTATCTTCCCATCTGCTACCTTAAGGTTACCCAAGACTCTCTGTACTTAGTTACTTTAAGTCCCACAGTCCCATTAGATCCTTGGAGCAAAAAAATCAAGAACTAGAAGGTTTGCCTTTCCCTGGTAGATACTTAAACATCTTGCCAAAGTGGCCCATGACATATTTTTTTAAATGTTCACCCTTACTAACAAAATTATACAAAATAAAACAATATTTTTTTTTTAACTATAAAACTGGCAAACTAGAAAACAACCAAAGCTAATATCCAGCATTCATGAGGCTGTGGGAAAATGAGCACTCACAAATTAGTACCTTTCTAAAACTCAATTTGAAAATATTTATCAAAGCCTAATAACTGTTTATACTCTCTGACCCAAATTTGTACATGTAGGAATTTATATTAAGGAATATGCCCAAAGATTTAGGTGCATTGATGTTTGTTAGATAATTGCTAATAACAGTGAAAAAAGAAACATTTATTTATTTATTTATTTGAGATAGAGTCTTGCTTTGTCACACCCAAGCTGCAGTGCAGTGGCACGATCTCAACTCACTACAACCTCCACCTCCTGGGTTCAAGCAATTCCCTTACCTCAGCCTCCCAAGCAGCTGGGACCACAGACATGCACCACCATGCCCGGCTAATTTTTGTATTTTAGTAGAGATGGGGTTTCACTATGTTGGCCAGGCTGGTTTTGAACTCCTGACCTCAAGTGATCTGCCTGCTTCAACTTCTCAAAGTGCTGGGATTACAGGCATGAGCCACCGCATTCAGCCAAAAAAGGAAACGTCTAAATGTCCAACAATGAGGCATGGTTGAACAAATTATGGTACAGTCTTAAGGAACATATGGTAAAATATTATGCAGTAATTTCAAATGACGCTATAAAAGTATATTTATTAGCAATGGAAGGTACTCTAAATATTTTATGTGAAAAACATGTTATAAAATAACATATACAGTTCTGTTCCATTTAAAAATAAGTATATTTCTCCCCCTTATTCCTCCAAAAGAAAAATAATAAATAAATACATGTAATTTTATATATGCACAAAAATATCTAAGAGGATGTAACATCACATGTTAACTAAAGTTATTATAGGATGGTAGGTTTAGGGTGATTTTAATATTCTTTTAGTTCATTTGCATTTTCTAAAAACATACAGATAATATTTTCAACAGAAAAAAAAACATTATTAGCATCTTGCTGAAAGATGATGATAGTCTCAGCACTTACTTTCTTCCTGGTTCCTCTGCCTATGCTGATGCTCTAAATGAAGAACAGAAAACAGAAGATAGGTCACAAGCAAATTGACATGGAAATATCATAAACAGTATTGCAGGGAGGCTCCTGCCCAGGAATCTCACAGTCAAAGGACGCTGAGCCTTCCCAAGTTTCAGAAACAGTCTCAGTGACAATTTTAGCCCAGCCAGAGAGGTCCTATATCTGAGGCAAGCCGGTTTCAGCATCAGTGGGAATGACCCATGAAGAGCACGACCAAGTAACTTAGCACTGGAATTTCTTATTTGCAACTAATTCAACAAATATTTTTAAAGCATATTCTAAGTGTTCATCTCTGTACCAGGCAATAAAGGGATTTCAAAAACAGTTTATATTCATAAACACTTTTGGGGATGAATATACGCTCTTCATGAGCAGACACTTTGTTTTTTACACTGCTGCACAAAGACCCAGCATCTAGAACAATGCTCTGAACATAGTAGGTGTTCAAAATACTTACTGAATAGATACATGAATGCCATCAAAACCCATTAGTCATTATAACCCTGGAAAAAGTGTTTTTCTCTATAATCTTCAGATTCCTCATCTGTAAAATGCATAGGATTGGATATGATAACCTTCCTGTTCTAACATGCTTAAATTTTATGTTCTCAAGAGAAACATGCTCAAATCAATTTGATGAACATTAGTGGAGTGCCTAATTGTGTGTTAGGCACTGACCTAAGCAGTGGGAGGAAGAAAGATGAGGTCCCTGCCCCAATTTGCTCAAGGTCCGTGGAGGACGGATGAGTGTGATCAATGCTCATCACTCACTCACTCACTCAGCATATGTTCCTTTGAAAGTCAGTTCTGTGCCAGCAACAGAGATACGTGTGCACAGGGTATGGTGGAAGTACGTGGGTCACCTACCCAGCCTGGGGTACACAGAAAAGGCTTACAGAGGTGACCATTTCTTCTTCTTTCTTCTTTTCTTCTTCTTCTTCTTCTTCTTCTCCTCCTCCTCCTCCTCCTCCTCCTCCTTCTTCTTCCTTCTTCTTCTTCTTCTCCTTCTCCTTCTTCTCCTTCTCTTCTTTCCCCCTCCCCCTCCCCCTCCTCCTCTTCTTCTTCTTCCTTCTTCCTTTTTTTTTCTTGAGACAGAGTTTCCCTTTTGCCACCCAGGCTGGAGTGCAATGGTGCAGGCTTGGCTCACTGCAACCTCTGCCTCCCAGGTTCAAAGATTCTCCTGCTTCGGCCTCCCAAGTAGCTGGGATTACAGGCATGCACCACCACATGCAGCTATTTTTTAAATATTTTTTATTGTATTATTATTATTTGAGATGGAGTTTTCGCTCTTTTCCCCAGGCTGGAGTGCAGTAGTGCAATCTTGGGTCACTGCAAACTCCGCCTTTCTGTTTCAAGTGATTCTCCCGCCTGAGCCTCCTGAGAAGCTGGGATTACAGGCATCTGCTACCATACCTGGCTAATTTTTGTATTTTTAGTAGAGATGGGGTTTCACCATGTTGGCCAGGCTGGTCTTGAACTCCTGACCTCGTGATCCATCCACCTCGGCCTCCCAGTGTTTGGATTACAGTCATGAGCCACCACACCCACCCTATTTTTTTATATTTTTAGTAGAGACAGGGTTTCAGCATGTTGGCCAGGCTGGTCTCAAACTCCTGACATTAGGTGATCCACCCACCTTGGCCTCCCAACATGTTGGGATTACAGGCATCAGCCACTGCACCCAGCCAGAGATGACAATTCCTTAACTGGGTGTCAAAGGACAAGTATGCATTGTCTAGGTGGAGAAAACGTTTTTCAGAAGGAGAAAATATCATGTACAAAGTTGGCTGAGTGCGGTGGCTCATGCTTGTAATCCCAGCACTTTGGGAGGCCAAGGTGGGCAGCTCATCTGAGGTCAGGAGTTCGAGACCAGCCTGACCAACATGGTGAAACCCTGTCTCTACTAAAAATACAAAAATTAATCGAGTGTGGTAGCACGCACCTGTAATCCCAGCTACTCGGGAGCCTGAGGCAGGAGAATTGCTTGAATCCAGGAGGGAGAGGTTGCAGTGAGCTGAGATCATTCCAGTGCACTCCAGCCTGGGCAACAGAGTGAGACTCCATCAGAAAGGAAGGAAGGAAGGGAGGGATGGTAGGAGGGAGGGAGAGAAAGCTAGAGAGAAAGAAAGAAAGAAAGTTAGTTAGTTCTACCAAAGAAACCAACAAAAATATTCCACAGTACATATATAGAATAAATAGGTGTTTCAGATGATCAAGTATGAGGGAGATCAGGGGACTGGAGACATGAGGGAGGGGCTCTTGGAAGGAGCAGGCCTAGCTCACAGAAGGAGGGGTCTCTGCAGCAGAGGAGCCAAAGGGGACACATTGGTGGCAGCATGGCACATTGGAAAGGAACCTCTGGTTCCAGCTCTGTCACTGACCACCTGTGTGATCTTGGAGGACCCTCTGGGTCTTGGTTTCCCAAATGCAAAGAGAGGGAGTTAGACTAGATGGGGTCTTACACCTCTTGCATGATAGGGTCTTTGGGAGAGGGTTGGAGGGTGGAAGCGAAGAAAGGGATTCTAGGGAAAGAGAAAAGCATGCCTCAGCTTGGGCTGGGATTATTGCTGGTAGAGCAGGCAGCAGGATTCAGAGTTCTGCCAGGTTGCCAGGGTTTCCAACGATAGGCACGTTCTCGGAGCCTAAGCCATATGAGCCAAAGAGCTACTTTCCTTTGAAGAGCTTTTGATCCATAAGGTCATGGGATAGAAGCGTCACAATGTGTAACAACATTCAGGCTCACAATATAGCAGAGAAAGGCCAATCCCAACCCAAACCACAAGCCTTAAATAGAAAATGAGATCCAGTTACCGCTGCCCCCTGTAAATATGTCTGTAAAACATTTATCTGGCAATAAAAGAACTGACAAGGCAATTTGAGTGTAATTGTTTTTGGCAGTTGGAAATATTTCAATTAACACACTATAAAAGCCACACTATAATAAATGCAAAACAGGCCAGTGAAATCAGCTACAGCCCTGACTTCCCAACCATGGCAAAGGAGATTGAATGTCAGGCTGCCACTTTGGCCCCTTGGTCTTGCAGAATGAGAAGCCTGAGACAGACAACCCTGAATTCCTGAAAGGCTTTTGATGGTTCCTCCTAGAAGCTATCAAGCCACAGAAGAAAATTCAAACTCTTCCCCAAGCCCTCAAAACTCTATCATCTGGCCCCAAGCCTCCATTCCAGCCTGTTCTCCTACCACCGTGTGCTGGGACTCCCAGGTGCAGTCAGAGAGTCCCTGAGCCTGGCCTGTGTTTTCCCACTTCTCCACCTTTGCTGTTATCATTCCTCCGCCAGGAATGTCATCTTCCCCTTCCCTCTCCCTGCCCCCACTACCTCTGTCTAACAAAATTCTACCCAACTAGCCTCTGCTAGTTCTTCATCTAACTTTTCCTTTTCCACCTTTCTCCTACCTCCCTCTACTCTTCCTTTCCTCACTTTAAGCAAGGCTACCCTCCATGTTCCATCACAAGTACTGAATGATCAAATGTATCTTCAAATAGACACTCTGTTACAGTCTCTGGGTCGTGTCTGAAAAGAAGCATAACACTGCAGTATACATAGGAGGCAGCTTGACATTCTTATGCTATTGACTAAAGAAAGTCCTCTTCTCTTGGCTAGGTCATTCCATTTGGCCAAGGGAAGATGTCTATGAAAGAGCGAGGCGGGAAGAGGAAATCCTCCCAGCCCACCGTGGCAGACAATGTAGTCCTGGTGATCAACGGGATAACAGATATCCCAGCCTGAACTCCTTCACAGCAGAGCATTTTTCTATCCTTATTGCTGTGGATTTCAGTGTGAGCACTGTGAGAGCAGGAACTGAGTCTTATTTTGGATCACTAGCACAGAGGCTAGCACTTGGATGGAAGTCACTGCCCTTATAAAAGTCACCAGTCACAACTCAGCTGCCTAGTGGTCACTTCTCAGTTCTCTTATAGGACCTGACATTGCTGAGGGCTCCCTCCCTCCTCCTTGAAACTTCTCCACCACCTTCTTTTCCATGTTACTGATCTCTCCAATGGCTCCTCAATATCCTTGACCTCTCCAGGGATATAGGCTTGACCCTCTGGTCTTTCTATTCTACACCCTCCCCTTGGCTACTCTTATCCCCCACGCATAGCTTCATCTTCCATCTTCCACCTTATGATGAAGCTCAAATCTATTTATTATTATTCTTTCTTTTCCCTGAGACAGGATCTTGTGACCAGGCATGGTGGCTCATGTCTGCAATCCCAGCACTTGGGGAAGCTGAGAAAGGTGGATTACTTCAGGCAAGAAGTTGGAGACCAAACTGGCCAACATGGTGAAACCCCATCTCCACTAAAAATACAAAAATTAGTCGAGCATGGTGGTGTGTGCTACTCAGGAGGCTGAAGCAGGAGAATCACTTGAACCCAGGAGGCAGAGGTCACAGTGAGCTGAGACTTAAAAAAAGAGAGAGAGAGAGAGAGAGAGAGAGACAGAGACAGTATCTTGGTCTCCCCAAATCTATTTTTGTAACTTAGACTTCCCAGAACCTCATATTCAAATTAATGACAAAGTACTCAAACTCAATATCTATAAAACTGACCTGATTTCTTCACCCTAAACTGTCACTTCCTCCAGGATTCCCTTTCTCTCAAGTGCATTACCATTCATTTAGTCACCCAGGTTGGAAACTGGGAACCATTAAAGATGTTTGTCCATTCTTCACCCTCTCACTAGGATTATGTTTCAAAGCCTAACAATTCTAATTCTTTAATATCTTTCTTAACTATCTTTAATTCAGGCCCTTACTATTTTTTGCCTAACTACATTTGATCTCCCTAACTCCAGTTTCTCTCTACTCTAATAATTATATCATTATAATTATTTTCAGCTACTGAGCACTTACTCTGGCCCAGTCATTTACTAAGCTATTTATGTAAATTATTTCATTGAATCTTCACAACCACCCTGTGGAGTATGAGCTGTCATTATTTCTACCTTACGAGAAAACTGAGG